AGACCATTTTGTAGGTCTGTACCTCTGCTCACATGATAGCAATTGATAACTTTCCAAAAAGCATGCACTTGTTTCCCTGGATACAGTGAAAAAAAAAATATCAGCAACTCCTGGTCAAAATGATTATGTCTAACACGTGCAAAACTAGAACTAAGGGAATGATAGCAATGTTACAATGTGAGTTCCCAGAGATAGCTCTTGGGACACTTGGGAGCTATCTCTGGAAACTAATTTCTAAACTCTAGATGATGCTATTTTGATATTCAACCTTGCTTCTGTGTATTATGTTAAAGGGCTAGTCAAAAAAACACCAGCAACAATACAAAAAGATGACTTGCCTCAGAAATACTACTTGTATTCAGAGGAAATTTTTTGTTCAGTTAGAAAACTTTTCATTTACAGTATACTTTGGGTTTTGTACTTGTAGATACTTTAAACATTTACAGTTCAGTAGGTGCATGATAAGATCAGGAGAGGAGAAACAAATACATGACAGTAGTTAGTATAAAATAGCAATTTTTGATTGTGCAAAAGACTCAGACTTTAATGCAGGAAGGCACAATCATGATCATCTAGTCTGATCTCCTACATATTGCAGGTCACTGAACCTCACCCACTCACTCCTCTTGTAGGCCTATAACCTCTGGCTGAGTTACTGAAGTCTTCAAATCTTGATTTAAAGACTTCATGTTACAGGGAATCAACCATTTGCTCTAGTTCAAACCAGCAAGTGACCCGTGCCCCTTGCTGCAGAGGAAGGCAAAAAACCCCTAGGGTCTCTGCAAATCTGACCTGGGGGAAAATTCCTTCCTGACCCCTGATGATCAGTCAGACCCTGAGCATGTGGGTGATACCCACTCAATAATCCATGCTAATCCACATTATCAGATATGGGATATGCCAATTTCTCTGAGATCTGAAGATTTAAGAAAGCTAACAGAACAATATACATCAGTGGTGGGTAGGTTGGATATTGGGCCAGTGTCAGCGTAGATCTGTACTTCTCAGGGAAATACAAACTAAGCTCAATAAAACAGAATTATCAGAAATTACTGACTAGAGACAAATCCCACCATCCTTTGGCACTGCCAGAAGTGCTTTGACAGAATGGAAATAAGAATCAGCAATATACTGTGGAAAGCACCATTTTGGCTGCTGAGTGACGTGCTGCAGCTCAGCATGTAAAGGAGATAATTGGATGTCCCCGTCCTCTTTCCCCCATTGTACCCCACTGCAGCCTGATAAAGTGTCTGAGTTTAAACAAAATTGCTTTGCATTTGTCTCATGTCCTAACTGAAGGCTCTGCCTCCCTTCACTTGTTCCTATTAAGAATATTGTGAGTGTGTGTGTAGAACACTATATGCTGGAGCCAAATGTTCTTCTAGGAAAAATGCCAGGGGAAGTAGGGCCATGACACACATGACTTACTAGTAGAAGGGTTATGAGGTAATTCACAGTGGGGCCAGAGGAAGGAGTGGAGATAGGGGTGTTGCTTAATAAAGAAAATGTCAGGCTGGAGTATGTTTTTGTTTTTTTCATTTTGGGAACTAAGAGGGAAGTTCTTGCTGGCTATGGAGATTTATGTAGTTTGTTAAAGAAGCCAAGAAAACGATCTATTCATTAACATTCCAGCTTGGGAAGCAGACAGCTCCACCAAACCTGCAGTCACAGGGAGCCCTGATGGCATGTCCCACTACCAGGGACAAAATGAAATGCTTGTATGATCTTTACGGTTCATATTCAATACTATGTGGCACTGGAGCATAAACACCTCTGTGTTGAAGATAGCTTGAACTCCTTGTGGTATAAGGATGTTTCCCTAGCTCCTTGGCCCTGACTGATGACTTCACAAGATTCCCCCTCCTTCTATTTCACATGAAACCGCCATCCACTGTCCCCTTACTCTCTACAGAAAGACACCAGTGAGGAAATTGATATCTGAAAGAAAAACAGATGGCTCTTATATTGCTGAAGTACTAATGGAAAACTTGGACATCTCATGCCTGAAGGGGTGCTGAAAATAAACAGATGGTGCTAAAGGCAAAACTCAGACTGTATGGGGAGCTAAGCAAGGGATAGCTTGGAATTCACACCCCCTAACACAGAGAAAAATTGTGGCTACTATTCTAGTCTTATGGCTGGAATAGTGACCCTATGTGAAGGCTCTGGAATACTGGTTCATACAAGTACGGTATAAATAGTTCCTCTCCCATATCACCCACAACAGCCCCTTCCAAAACAGCCTATTTGTGGCTAGTATGAAGCCCCAGCTTTCTGGTGCACAGAGGCTGAGCAGCCATTCTCCCTTAGCATACACCCCTGCAGATGGCACTCTGTAGGGCTCAAGTGGTGCGGAGGACCCACGAAAGACATTCCACACCTAGATCACAATCTGTGAGGAAATGATGTGTGGTACTCACACTGTGAACTCCCAAAGCCTTCCAGATGGCAAAACTGATCAGCCCAACTCCACACCAGGCATAGAGCGAACCCCACCCCAAGGCTCGTAAGGCCAGCGATGAACCATTCTCTGGTAGTGCAGCTGTGGCAGTAATACCCTAGAATCAAGATTAAAAAGTTCAAGATTCAGTAACACAAGGATTTTAAAATATCTAAGCTAAGAAAAAAATCAGCTCTAGGCATTTGTCTCTTTAGCAAACTCTACTATTGAACTAAAGACTCAACAGCATTTGACAGTAGCACCAGAGGGTAGAACAAGGGTGTTAGTTGAATCCCTTCCTGTCCCCCCAAATTCCCACAGAGTTGGGGTGAAACCCTCCACAAAATTCCTCAGGATTAGTTGCTCTTAATCCTCCAGGAAGGAGACATATGCTATTGACAGTCCTAGCAGTTGTCAATAGCACATGTGGGTAGCACACTTGCTATCTCAAGAACCCTAATGTCAGCTGCCATGTGGGGATGACTGACTGACTGGTTGGGGGCAGAAGATGCAGTAACTGAGTAGGAATCAGGAAAAACAGAAGGGCCCAGAAACACCTTCACAGCCCCAGATCACTAGGAGTCAGAATGTAATAATGCTCTAAAACTCATCTCTGCAGACCTCTACGCTGGCCCCCTGGGTAACAGCAGAGAAAGCTGGAGAAACAGCAGGGCCCTGATGACTTTCAGCCCCATGTGGAGCAGGTACCTCAGAAAGAGTGGGACTAATGTGAGGATGCGGGGAGAGGAGCATAACCTGAAGGAGTTCTGAAAATGGGCTTTTAAAAAACAAACAAAAAAACAACAACTAATGTTGTCTGGCACTGCTTGGATCTCATTTCTCCAAAGAATCCATTGACAGGCAAATGTAGAATCCTGTTCAGCCTCCGTACTGGGTCATGCTGAGTCATTTTAACCATTTAACCATTTGTCAAAATTCCGATACAAACCTAATAAAACAGAAATCTTTCTCTGGAAAAATCATTTCATGCTGAGCCAAACAGGTTCCCTGTCGTGATTTGAGGACTCTGGGTGCTGACCTAATATTAATGTATTATTACTAATATAGGAGTACATAGTACGGTTTACACTGAACAGTCAACATTTACCTAGTTATCACACTGTGATATCTGATTAAGTGTACTTAATTCCTGTAGAATACGTGTAACCTACAGAATGTAACTGCAGTAAACCAGATACCACTGCAATGTGGTAACCATAGGCACAAACTCCCTGGGTGCTATGGGGCTGGAGCACCCATAAAAAAAAATAGTGG